AGTAGGGGTCCGTCTTCTCTTCATATGTAGTGAATTTGGGCTGAAGGAAGCCTGATGGCAGGGGCGCGTTTTCAATCGCCGGAAGAAACGGCGAAGTCTGCAGCCTTGCTAATGCTTTGTTCGTTGGTTCGTAGGTAGGGCGCAGTATTGGCATTCCAACCTCGACGCTTCCATGCGTCCGAGGAGCCAACTGTTGTAAGGCAGAAACTCTGTGTGGATCCCGTGCCCTGGCATCCTCCTTGCATCGTGCTTTTTCTTCGAGCACGGTTCGTAAGTCGGATGATCTGGGTAACTCCGTTTGTCTAGATCTGGTTTGGTGCGTATGTGAGGGCCAATACGTGCTTCCTTCAGTGTATGATCTTTCAGATCTCGTCCTCTCAGACCTGGAGTGACGAGTTCTGGAAGACCAGGATTAAGTATCGCCTGTCCTGAGACTTCTACTCTCTCCTTGCGAGGGTGTGGTATTCCTACTACGATTTTCTGAGTGGCGAGGGGGCGTCTTGTTTTTGTGCCCCTCTCCTGTCGCCACTTCTTTATTCTTCATCTGGCCCTTCAACGCCTCCATGTCGGCCGCCATCTTCCTTATCAATTCGTCTTGCTCCTTCGCGCGATCTTCCAGAGCTTGAGGATCAATCCTCCGTCTTTGCTTGTCAGGACTTTGCGAGCGAGATTGACGGGGGCTGTGAGTCCGTCTTCCCCTAGTATTTCTCCTGGGGTTATGTCGTTGGGGCTCCAAATCTGCCATGGGAGGGATAGAAGGTAATCCTTCACGCCTCGTTCCCCCATCTGGGGTTTTCCCGTCGATGGCGGACTGTGGTAATTCTTCATTGTGCGCCATTGTTCTTCAAGAGGTAAAGTTTGATCAAGAGGTTTTGTCCTGTCTGTTTTTCCCACAGACGGCGCCAATTGTACGGGAAAGAAATAAACCTTCTCGTATAATCCTGTTGAACAAGTCTACTCTCCTCCGTATGTCGTCGCTTTATCACCTGAAAATACAAACGTAAGCTAGCCGGCGGGTGTGTGCCGGAAACCTCTCCGATGCCTAAGTCAGTAAACTTGACAAATAGACAAAAGCTCTGTGTATTCAGAAAGCAAAGTTGTGTGTTACCTCTCCTAAGGTGATGTTTGTGAGCTTTTATAGGTTTCGTGTGGCACAATCCTAGTAGGACTTCTATTCCTCCATGCAGAGTCCTCCTAGGATTCATACTCCTGTAGGATAATGCTTATCCTTTAACACCCCCCTCATTGCTTAAACCAAGTGAGATGGTTTTATCATGGCCGAACTCCAATATGACCGAAGTAAATATGCTTATGTTCAGTCGAAGAGTAAGCCGAACTAACTCTTTTATCGCTCTTACAGTGGCTCCTCATGCACAACTCATGGCGCGGTCAGACCGAACTAATATTTCGAGACCGGTGTAACCTTAAGACCGGTCTAACTCCAAGGAGCCTTTAGACCGATCTAACTTCGATCTCCTACTGGACCGGTCTAGCTTCACGTCCTTAGGACCGGACTAACTCCAAAATACCGCACGACCGGAGTATCTTATATGGCCATTTCACTTCGGCCTTTTATACTGTGACTCATTACGGCCCATCACCTAACTCGGCCCAATTTTCACATAAATTACCTTCTCACTAAGCTACCCATAACTGCACTAACTGAGCTCAATCCGATCACTCTCTCCTTCGCCGATCGTCCTGTTGACCCCATATCGGTAACCCACTTTCCCTCCCTCTCTCTCTCATGATTTAAATAAGAGCTATGAATACAATCAATTTCTTTGTGTTATAACTGCAAACGGTTTAAAAATGTTAAGATATATTGTTGTTACACTCAATGCCTTCTTGGGTGAATTAGAGCTTTGTAATTCATATGATTTTTTTCCCCCAGGATGGCAGGATGTGATATAGTGAACTAATTCAATCAAAATTCACCAACACAGAGTTAAGTTTATTTAATTAGGTATAGAATAGTATAAAATTATTTTGTTTCCTTAGTTGACATATTTAGTTTTCCTATTTTATTAGTATTGATTTAGTTTTAGTTTCCCAATTCATCAGATTTCTTATTCCCCAAGAATTAGATTTATTAATAGTTTTTATGCTTTAATACAATTACGAGTTTATACTCTTCTTTCCAACCTCATGATTTTTTTCAAAAGTTCATTACTATATTTATGCTATTTCGCGTGCTAGCCCTGTTGGTTCAAACGTTGCTGTCTCTCCCTTGCATTTGGTAATGTCAGTCAAGTTTTATTCAATAACAATATCTTTTATGGATTTGGGGTGCTTGCTGTGCGGCCTATGGACTTATTTCGGGGCCTTTTTTGATAATCCAAACTGTTCATATTTTAGAGTATATCGAGTAGAACATACCTGTAAAAAATTAAGTTAATCGGATATCGTTAACTTTGTCATCCATTCATATTTGTATCTTCAAAAATAAATGACATTGTGATTTAAAATATTAAAATGAATATAAATATGAGTAGATGAAAAGGTTAACGATGTCCGATTAACTTAATTTTTGACAGGTATGTTATACTCGATGTACTTTAAAATGTGAATAGTGCAGATTATCCAAATGGATCCTGAAATAAGCCCATAAGACCGCACAGTGCTTGCTATCTTTTATTCATCACAATTTTAGATTAACAGATGCCAATGTAAAATTCCATATGAAAGTAACTCTGTTCCATTTTCTTTCCAAGGGGATGATAATTCATTACATATTTTAATTTCTTTTTCCCCTTTTGCCGGATATTTTCATGTGATTGGTAGCCTTCTAGACGAACTCATGATTTTAATGTGCAGAGAATAGTATTCGGGTCAACAACATGAGGGCACTTATTCTTGTTGGGGGGTTTGGAACACGGTTGAGGCCTTTAACCCTCAGTATGCCAAAGCCCCTGGTTGAATTTGCCAATAAGCCCATGATACTACATCAGGTCCTACTCCATAACAAAGTTAATTAATGTGAGCATCTTTCAAATTCTGTCATTGATCCAATATTATCCTATGATAGATGCTAGATTCATGTGGATTTGGTTCTTGAATCCATTACACTAGTTGCTGATTATTGCTTTTAAAGATATATATTTGTATATCCAAAAAAAAAAAAAAAATTCATGCAAGAAAATTTGTTCTACCTGAAAGATGGCTGCTTAATTCTTAGACTTTGTTTAATTGATAATCCTAATCAATGGCAAATAGCTTAAATGTGTCTAAATGGATGATATAATTGAGGAGAGCATACAATTGTTTTATCCTAATTAATCTCCCAACTAAATTCTTTGATGTTATAGCAAAATTCTTTTATACCTTAACCATTGGGTGCTTGGAAATTCAATTTATGCTCAGATAGAAGCACTAAAAGCCATTGGAGTGACTGAAGTGATTTTGGCCATCAATTACCAACCAGAGGTAAAAATATTAAGACCCTCCTCTATTCATTGCAATAACAAAGTTTTGGCTGGCCACGTGAACATGTGTATTTGTTTTTCAATTTTTTTTTTTTTTTTGGTTTCCAGATTATGCTGAGTTTTTTGAAAGAGTTTGAGGAAAAGCTAGATATCAAGATAACTTGCTCGCAAGAAACTGAGCCACTGGGCACAGCTGGTCCCCTGGCTTTGGCTAGAAATAAATTGATTGATGATGACTCTGGCAGGCCCTTCTTTGTTCTCAACAGCGATGTTATCTGTGACTACCCCTTTAAAGAAATGATTGATTTCCACAATTCTCATGGAGGGGAGGCTTCCATTGTAGTGACCAAGGTAAGCAAGCTTTCCTTCCATTCCAAACACGCACACATATGATACAAAAAGTATATGGTATGAGATTGGAAGCCGATTTCTGTGTTAGGTTGATGAACCCTCAAAATATGGTGTGGTAATCATAGAAGAAACAACGGGGAAAGTTGAGAAATTCATGGAGACACCAAAAATATTTGTGGGTAACAAGATCAATGCTGGAATCTACTTGTTGAGCCCTTCTGTTCTTAATCGGATTGAGTTGAGGCCGACCTCAATCGAAAAAGAGGTCTTCCCCAGCATTGCAGCAGAAAATAAAACTCTATGCTATGGTGTTACCTGGGTTTTGGATGGACATTGGACAGCCAAAGGATTACATTACAGGCTTGAGACTCTACTTAGATTCTTTGCAGAAAAAATCCTCATCAAAATTGGCCGTTGGATCTCACATTGTCGGAAATGTTTTGGTAGATGAGAGTGCTGTGATTGGTAATGGATGTTTGATTGGGCCAGACGGGGCTATCGGTCCTGGATGTGTGACTGAGTCGGGTGTTAGGCTCTCATGCTGCACTGTAATGCGTGGAGTTCGAATTAAGAAGCATGCATGCATCTCTGGTAGCATCATCGGCTGGCACTCCATCGTTGGGAGGTGGGCTCGGGTGGAGAATATGTCAATATTGGGAGAAGATGTTCATGTGGGTGATGAAGTTTACAGCAATGGAGGTGTGGTCCTCCCCCATAAGGAGATAAAATCAAGCATTTTGAAGCCAGAGATTGTCATGTGAACTGTATTTTCAAATTTATGGCAATTTTTTTTTAAGAGCTAAGCATTTGAAATGTCAAAAGTGCTTGCTTTTCCTTCTTTTTATATGAATCCAGATCCGTCTTTATATAGTTTATTAATCACATTGATCATGTTAAATCTATCATTCTCTGATAACTCCCCAAAACAATAAAAGTACCCTTTTTTGGAAAACGAGAAAATGAAAAATACCCTTGAAATTGGATTTTTAGAAAATTAAAGGGGAGATCTGATACACAAAATTATGTAGTAGTAGTACAACGAATGCATACGCACGTGGTGTTTTCAACAAAAGGTGTCCCGCAAAACCGAATGCCTATGCACCAATAAATAAATAAATAAATAAACTCTGAAAATTCTCAGTAATGCAGAGCTTTGTCATGCTATAAGCACCAAAACAAGCATATATCAGAGCAAGTGTATTGAGAACGGTACATTTAACACAGTTGCATAAAATTACGTGATATGTATTGAAAACGGTACATTTAACACCTCAGTAGTATAAAATTACATGATATGTTTTACACTCAATTGGGTTAGCTAGAAAAGAAAATGGGGGAGGGAAGAGTGTGGTTACAACTGCATTAGCCAGAATTCGAGCCAAGCCCGCATTAGGAAGCCTTCAAAATCACACAATATCGAATTGAAAAGGAAAAAAAAAAATTGACAATTGCCCAAAACAGCAGACACAGACCAGATTTACATGTGAAACAACAGAGGGTAGTGAAGAATGTGTGCCAACAGAGAGAAAACGCACGAGCTATTCAAACCGAGGCTAAGATCCAAAACATCACATGAGAAGATATGGCAACGAGGAACCAGGTGACAAAAGCCAGCGCTACAGAGAGCTGGAATCTGCTGCATGGGAGTTGCGTTTGAACCTTGCAGAAATCCAAGTCCCTTGCATACAAAACTGCAATTGCTGATGAGCATGCAGCTGCAAGTGATAGAGTAGCAGTCACCTGCATTTCAAAAAATCATTAGAGTGCCAATTGATACAAAATTTTGCAAAGCAGGGCTGTGCCCTTTTCATTACAAGTCTAAGTCGTGTACTATGGGTTCCATGTTCAAATTCAATACTTATCTTTGAGGTATGGGTTCTTACAACTGCATAGAGAAGATTTTTAAACAAAAGCAACAAAATAAGTATCCGAGAAAAAAAATAATTAAATAAATAGGAGAAAGAAACTATCCAAGAAATTGTTTTTTGATTCATATGATAAAGTTCACACATCTTTAATAGAAATACCAGTAGTTATGCTATCAAGAGTCTAAGGATAAATACCCAATCGCCTACAACAAACAGGCTCACTAGGACTGGGTTTTGAAGGTCTCTCTTTATCCTCAAAGCATAACCATCAAGACATGCAAGTCCAAAGCTCCACAATACCTGAAGCCCCATTGATGCAATTAAATAGCTGCATCAAATAACATGTGCTTTGATCAAAGTCGAGCTGGGGACTAGACAGGACTATGTCTCAATAAAATTAATTGAAAGCAAGAGAAATCAACTCATAGTCTGTAATAGAAAAGCAACGATAATTAAACACGTAATCTCTTCAAGCCTGACTTGAGCAGCAGAACTATCACACAAGTGCATGAGAGAACATGTAAAACAAACATGACGCACATGAATGCACAAGATTGACCCAAACACCCGTTTCCTTTTCCCAAATTAGAATGAGACCAAATTCTTGTGACAAAGAAACTAAATTTTATACAGGAATAAATGTATAAAAACACTCTGAAGAATTATGCATGACCCTTTTGTTCTTTTTGCCTAACTCCTATCTAACCCAAATAAACAACACTAGAAGAATCACCCATTAAAGCCTTACCCAAAATATATGTTACAAGCTAGATAAATGACTCAAGTGGAATCCCATGATATAAATACACAAACTTTACATATATAAGCTTATTGAGGTGTAGGTTATTGTTCCATCATGCATGGAACAGAAGAAACGCTTTTATAGAATATTTTCCAACTGTCACAGCTGGAATTTCATATTACTCTTAGGGCAACCACTTTGTGCAAATAATGTCAAAGGTTTGGTCTACACCCAATCTACCCCTCCCAAACCATCAAATAGGGGGGACTAAATTACATGTAGTTTTATGTGAAGATTATAGCTTTATTCCTAGACCAAATATAAGCTCAATAAAAACATGAGGCATACTAAGAGCGATTTTTTCATTCAAGTAAGAATGAATTGCATTTAATATTTACTCCAAAATGGACTTTCAGCCAAAAGTTCAATATAGATCAATGATTTCATAGGCAGACATTAGGCACCCGACAACCATGATTTGCACAGGAGTTCATCTCTAGACACTGACAACTTACTAAGTTCTACACTATCAAGGTTTTGGAATATTAGGAAAATCATATATATCACAGATAGTACAATACAAACAATAGTGGAATAAGGAAGATCTCTGAAAAGGTGTTTAGAAAGAGTATTTCAGAATGACTACTAATCAATTGTTGATTTACCTTCTTTTCATCTTCAAATTCTTTTTGAGATGCAGTTCAACTCAAAATTTTATTTATTCTAAAAGGAAATTCTGCTATTAAGTTAGAGATGACGATTTTCGACTCTATCATGTTTCTCAATCTACTTTCACCATTGTCTCTCTCTCTCTCTCTCTCTCTATATATATATATATACAAAGTATTTCTATGAATATACATGTAAAATAATAAAAAATAAATGCATTTCCATTTCCAAATGCTCCCATGTGATCCAGAATGAGACTATCTAAGACAATGTTATTTGCATTTGGTAACTTACAATTTCATAATGAATAATTTATTTATTTATTTATTTATTTATTGTTTTTGGAGATAAATAAATACATATAAAGAACCACACAGTTGTTGAAAGAAAGTCCTTCAACACTTTCAATATTTCTAAACATTAAATGATTGCCTAAAACATTTCAACAAAAATCAAAATTTCAACTCAAAAATTGAACTCTCCACATTATTCCAACATTGCATAATAACAAAACTCCAAGAAAACAGAAATTGCAAGAAACATACCAAAAAGCAGTGTAGTTAGAGAAACCCATAGCAGAGGCCATGACTCCAATGGAAGCAGAAGCAAACAAACACTGCCCTATCCTCAACATCAGCCCACTCACAGTTCCTGGGCTCCCTAACAGGGTCTTCATCTCTTTCTTCCCCCTCCTCTCTCCTCTCTCCCTCTCTCTCCTCCTATCCACAGGGCTCTTGTCTAAATCAAAGGGCCCCGATGGAAACCCTAGATTTCAGAACCCCTACATAAATGCAACCCCAAATCCCTGCCATTTTCTCAATCCAAAACAATCAAATCTCAATGTGAATATGTATCGATCTATAAATATACCAAAATGAGAAGAGGTCGAATTGATTAGGAGAGCAAGAGATGTTTAGGGCTTGGATTTCAAATGGGAACTGTGATTGATCGTCTTCGAGCTCATCATCATCATTCATCCCAAACCATCCATTGATGGAATCGTTGGCTTTAAGAAACCCTAAAGTAGTTAATCAATGTTTTTCCTTTGGGTAAATTACACTAACACCCTGACATTTATATTTATTACGGTTTTTGCCAAACGTTTTAGAAATTACACCTCCCTCCTTAAAGTTTAAAGTTCCATTATAGATTTCCCCTTACCAATTTAATTTTTTTAAATATTAATTTTGCCCTCACTAGGTAAATTACATTGATACCCCTCACATTTTAGAAATTACAATTTCCTCCCGAAGATTTAAAGTAGTATTACTAATTGCCCCTCGATTAGTATTAGTTGGAAAAAAAAATTTTGTTAGTAAAATTTTTAAATTTCTGATTAAAAATCAATATAAACTCATTTTTTGAATTTATGTTTTTTTCCTCAAATTTACAAACTGAGACAACCATTTATAAACCAAAAAAATTATCAAACAAGTTTTTATGATATTTTTTTTTAATTTTTGTACATATAAATTGAAAACTGAAAACGAAATGGTTATTAAACAGGGTTCAGATGGTAAAAATGTCATAAAATTAACAAATAATTAAATAAGTTACCAACGTAAGAAATGACTTATCAAAAGATTCTTAGGCTATGTAGGGTTTGATTTTTAGAATTTTTTTTAAATTAAAAATTAATTTGGTTAAGAAATAAAAAATAAAAAATAATTATCATTTTAACTTTTTAGCAAATTATATACATACATATAGTTGTTTTAATTTAATTTGTAAAAAATTATTTATAACTACTCGAAAGATAAAAATTATATAAAAATGATAATTATTTTTTATTTTTTATTTCTTAACCAAATTAATTTTTAATTTTTTTAAAAAAAATTCTAAAAATCAAACCATGCATAACTTAAGAATCTTTTGATAAATCATTTTTTACGTTGGTAACCTATTTAATTATTTGTTAATTTTACGATATTTTTACCATCTAAAGCCTGTTTGGTAACCATTTCGTTTTTATTTTTCAATTTCTATTTACAAAAATTTAAAAAACTGTCAAAAAAACTTGTTTGATAATTTTTTTGGTTTATAAATGGTTGTATCAGTTTATAAATTTGAAGAAAAAGCGTAAATTCAAAAACTCGAAAGATAAAAATTATATAAAAATGATAATTATTTTTTATTTTTTATTTCTTAACCAAATTAATTTTTAATTTTTTTTAAAAAAATTCTAAAAATTAAACCATACATAGCTTAAGAATCTTTTGATAAGTCATTTTTTACGTTGGTAACCTATTTAATTATTTGTTAATTTTACGACATTTTTACCATCTAAAGCCTGTTTGGTAACCATTTCGTTTTTATTTTACAATTTCTATTTACAAAAATTTAAAAAACTGTCAAAAAAACTTGTTTGATAATTTTTTTGGTTTATAAATGGTTGTATCAGTTTATAAATTTGAAGAAAAAGCGTAAATTCAAAAAATGAGTTTATGTTGGTTTTTAAACAGAAATTTAAAAATTTTATTAATAAATTTTTTTTTCAATTAATTTTTTTTTCAAATAATTTTTTTTCCAACTAATACTAACCAATGGGGCAATTGGTAATGCTACTTTTAATCTTAGGGAGAGGATTGTAATTTCAAAAATGTGAAGGGATGTCAATGTAATTTACCCAGTGACGGAAAAATTTGTATTTAAAAAAATTAAATTGCTGAGAGGGGAATCTGTAATGAAACTTTAAACCTCAGGGAGAGAGATGTAATTTTCAAAACATGAGAGAAGAACTGTAATAAATATAAACCTCAGGGGCTGTCAGTGTAATTTACCCTTTCCTTTTTTTTTCTTTATTTTTTGGGAAAATTGTGGCTTTGTGTGGAAAAATTTTAAAATTATAATTCCACTTCTAGTTGCACGTAGTATTTGGTTATAATTTTTAAAAATTAATTTTATATTCACTTTTGAAAAAAAAAAATTCAAGTGAAAAAATTTGGCTAACTTGGTCGTTTCTGGACATTCGGCCAGTTGATCAAAACAGTATAAGTTTTTTTTTTACCTGTTACTTTTATACTTTAAATAAAAAATATTTTCAGAATTTTTTTTAAATTTTTTTGTGAGTTTTGAATAGGATTTTAGGTTGTGTTTTTAGTTATGAGTTGTAAGTTTTTGAATTAATCATATGTCACATTATTCATTTCAAACTTAATTCAAAATTCTTTTCAAAATTCATAACTAAACAAATTTTCCATACTCAAATTATAATTTCAAAACTCACAAACTCAAAATACAACTTTTATTCTTAAATCATATTTAGAGAACTCTACCAAATGCTACCTGTAATTTTCAAAAATAATTTTAAATTAATGGTAAATTTTACTAATTTTAATAATTAAAAATGAATATTTTAAATCAGTCTAAAAATTAAATATAATCATAAATTAATGATAAATTTTATTAATATTAATCATTAAAGTTATTAATTTTTTTATGTATATGTAATAATTTTTTTGTGGGAATTTTTTTTTAAATCGTTGAAATTAAAATTTTGTAAGATAATAATTTTATAATATTTTTATAATAGTTGGGGTCTCTCAACATTTTTACAGACAAAATTCGACACAGAGAAATTTCACTCTCACATAGAAAATTTTCAATTTTCACAACAAAAAAAAAAAATCACAGAAAAATTTTAAAATTTCTCAAATATGATCACAGAAATTTCATCGAAAGACCTTACCCTAGACCTTTCTTATTGTCCAAAGTTAAAGTGAGATATTTCACTAATTTTTTCCTTTTTCAACTTACCATTAGCGAGGTATCATCCCTATTAAAACTATAATCTTTTTCATGAATCACTGATTTAGAACAGGGGACAATTACTTAACAATTGAGCGAGGAAAAAAAATTATAAATTAATAAAAAAAAATTATAATATTAATAATTAATATTTATAATATTTTTTACTTGTTTATAAAGTTTTACTCATGAAATATGTAATTCCCTTATTACAACAGTCTCAGTGCGACTGATCTCACAGCCCTACGTGGATTTCTATAGTTTTTGCATTATTTTTAATTATTTTAATCAGAAAGTACTTATTTAGAGCATCCGCATTAGCTTCCGCAAATTTTGAGTCAAATTATAACTGAAAAAAGTCATTTTCATATTTTAGCTAGTCACTCATTGCATCAAACTCTCTATTTTAACTCAATCTTATTAAAATATTTGTTATTCTTTTTTTTATAATTAAATTGATGACCTATCAACCAAACAATTCTTATGTTTTACAAAAGATAAAATTAAAAAAAAAAAATGCCGTTGACCGGTTGACCGGTCGGATGTCTGGGCAGACGTCCAGTTACACCTAAATTGCGTGTTATAGCGATGAACAGTTCCTCGCTTCATTAGACGAGTTACTGTAACAAATTTAACAAAAAGTTAATTTAACAAAAATTTACTAAGACTGATGAATGAAGGATTTGATAATTTGTTATTTATATTTTAACTTTTTGTTAATTTAAAGATATTGATACTGATGCTCTTATAAGTACGCTCACAATATTTAAGTCTAAAAGTAGGGTAGCTAGTCTTTGGGAATTGTTTTTTCTTAATTTTTTTTTAAAGACAAATTATCAACAATCTTTCGAGATTTGACTAAAATATAAATTTGTCCAGAGTTTTAAGAAATTACATTTTGCCTCATGAGATTTATATTTGTATAATAAATTATCTGCTGAAGTTTATATTTGCATAACAAATTGTCCCCTTATTTATTATGCAAATATAAATCTCATGGGTAATTTATAATTTCCCAAACCTCAGGAAGAATCTGTATTTTAGTAAAACCTTGAGGGAGGTGTTGGTAATTTTTCCTTTTTTTAATTATTTTTAACAAAATTTTTAATTTTTTTAATTTTTTAACTTTTTAGGTTTGAGGACATTTCTAATCTTTACTCATTTTTTATCAAATTTAAATTAAAATTTAATTAAAAACTTTAATATGATACGAAAGTCTTCAATCTTTACTTTCTTTTTTCATCAATTTTTTTCAAAAATTCTAAACTTTTTCTAAAAATTTGTTTTAATTGTTTTCAATGACAACAAAATCTTTAATCGTAAATTTTTTTTTCAAAAAATTTCTCAAATTTGAATAAAAATATGATTGCTGAAAATTTTATAAAATATTTGGTTCATCAATAATTTGGTGAAAAAAAATAACTCTACCGTAATTTGATATAAATTTGGGAAAATGATTAGAATATATTTTTAATTATTTTTTTATCAAATTTAAATTTGATGAAAAAGGTAATGAATGATTAGAGATGCTTTTGCTAGACTAAAAAATTTGATTTTTTTAACTTTTTCTTTACATAATTTTTTTTTTCTTTTTTGAGTTTAGATTCTCTTAAGTTAGTTATTTGAAATTAAGAGAGTCTTTGGACTGTTTGGCAAGAAGGTTTGGGGCTAAAATAGTTACAAAAGACAAAATAAACTATTTTAGTCACAATAAATAAAACATCACATTCAATCCATAATCATTACATTCTTCTGTCTCAAAAAAAGCCAAAAAAAATCAAAAAGTCAAAAAAATCCTTCCCAAACTAAGTTTTTTAACCCAGGCTAAAATAGTCAAAAAAGCCAAAAAGCCAACTCACTTCCCAAACCAAACCTAAGTCCCCAGGCTAACAGATGAAAAATAATTTTCTAATTTATTGACTTTTGAACATTTTATTTTTTATTTTTATCCAAAACCTAGATGATTCTTTAAGGCATTCCTTAAGATTACTCTTGAACAAATGCTTAATTTAATGATAAATAAAAATAAAAAATTTAAATCGACCCCATAAATGATTATGAATGTAATTAAAGATTTTATTAATAGGTTGGTTCAATTAGGCGTTGTGGATTCGCTAGGTAATTGAGAGTATACCTGTGTAATTCCTTTAAATCTTCTTAGTGGATTATTCTTGTGGCTGTTACCCGTGGTTTTTTATCACAGTTGGAGGTGTCCAATTGTGGTTTTTTCCACGTAAAATCATTGTGTCTCTTTGTCTTGATTGTTTGAT